TGATATCAGAATATCCTGGCAAAGATTCGTATCTGGAGAAGGGGGTGGCACTCTGTGAAAACGTGCTTTTGTTAAGGGCACTCTGTCCAAATTGTTCCAAGGGGAACCACAACGACCATCCTCCATTTTGGGTGCCGCATACATAAATGTGGCTCTCAAAACATGGACACCGCCGAAAAATGGTCTCCGTTTCGCTTCCCTTTGGAACAGCCCACAGGGGGTATCAAAAATACACACGCACACACACACACAGGCATGAGTTGTGAGTAGGGACGCTTTGGTGGACATCATTTAGCTTGAGATTCATTTCCCCCAACCAGTTTCAAGCTCCAAATGGCATCCCTTTGGTTTCCTGATCGAAAAAAGATCAAGCTTCTGGCCCTGATGTAGGCTGAGACCGCATACTGTCGCTTTTTGGGTACTCCTTTGACCGAGAAATCATAGAGGCTTCAAGGGTTCGTATAGGCAAACAACCAGAACAACTAGTGCAATCCGGGCAAATATGCCCAAACACGGGGGTTGGACAGCGTCTTTTGTTGGTGCCAGGCTGGAGGAAACAGCTTCTCAGCCCGAAAAGGTCTCACTTTGCCCCGAAAAAGTCTGCAGATACTTCCCACTAAAAACATGGTCTTCCCCAAAGTCCTCAAAGTCCATAAGCGCAAGAAGCCATGCGTAAAATTTATTCCTCTCACCCTCGGCCCTAAACTTGGTTGACGTTGGAATGGGAACAATAATTGAACAAATAGCAGTTCAGTGGTTGGATTTCAACCACTAAACCACAATAAGCAAAAATGGGGAAAATGCTTCCCAACAACAACCATGATGGGGGGAATGGCGCGTGAAAAGCTGAAATTATGGGAAGGAACAAATTAAAATGAGTGGTCTTGTTGCTACTGTACTGAGCCTGGGCCCGTTCCCCATGTAAAAAGCGTTTCGTGGCTCCTGGAAGAGGCGGTCCACCACGTTGGCCAAGGCGTGCAGCCCCGCCGCCGCAGCGGTGAACTCGTGGCCCATGGGGGGCACCTGTAGCAGCTCCTGAGGGCCACGTGTCTTGCCCATTTGGCCGTGGGTCAAAACCAGCAGGAGCCATGGAAATGAATGAATGACTGACTGACTGACTGAATGACTGACTGACTGAATGACTGACTGACTGAATGACTGACTGACTGACTGACTGAATGACTGACTGACTGAATGACTGACTGACTGACTGAATGACTGACTGACTGACTGAAAGAATGACTGACTGACTGATTGACTGACTGACTGACTGAATGACTGACTGACTGAATGACTGACTCACTGACTGTCCGCCTGCCTGACTGACTGACTGACTGACTGAATGAATGAATGAATGAATGAGTGAATGAATGAATGAATGACTGAATGAATGAATGCATGCATGCATGAATGAATGACTGACTGAATGACTGACTGACTGACTGAATGACTGAATAACTGAATGAATGAATGAATGAATGAATGAATGAATGAATGAATGAATGAATGAATGAATGAATGAATGAATGAATGAATGAATGAATGAATGAATGAATGAATGAATGAATTAATGAATGAATGAATGAATGAATGAATGAATCAATTAAACCTTATGCTGAACCATGGGAATAAATGAATGAATGAATGAATGAATGAATGAATGAATGAATCAATAAAATGAATGAATGAATGACTGACTGAATGAATGAATTAATGAATTAATGAATGAATGAATGAATGCATGAATGAAACCTAAGGTTTGTTACAGTATTTAAGGTGAGGGGAATCGAATCGGAAACCAGGGGTTCTTAGGTGCAGGATTTCGTCCATGCACAGTAGGACTTGGGCCCTCAAAATTGTTGGTTTTTGTTTTTAGTTTCCATTTGAATGACCAACTGGTCAATTGTTTCTTTGTTGGTTTCCCTTTGAATGACCAAAGGGTCTGTGTCTTGAGAAAAAACTTGGCACTCCCTTTGGATTTGGTGTACGGGAAACCAACAGGAACATCAAAGTCCATTTTGGGGGTCCGAATCCTTGGACACATGCCCCAACACCCTCTCTTCCTAACATGCCCTGACAATGGCGATGATCAAACTGCTGATGTCGTGTCTTGGCAACATAGATGGCACTAATGATTGGGACCTAACTGACACTTATAGTCCTTCAACCCCACCTACACTGAAAACTAGATGGCACAATTCCAGCCCATCACTCGTGCTCCTTTCCTTACCACAGTCCTGCCATCTGCTTCACCCTTTGCGAGAAAACAAACAAACAAACAAACAAACAAACAAACAAACAAACAAACAACTGCAGACCAAACGGACACCCAGAAACAAATTTTGAGGGTCACCTATTCTAACACGACAACAAAACCAGGCCCCCTCCAGTAGAGAGGTTGGAATAAGGGTACCAACTTTTTTCTGTAGTCTATTTTAGTAGGGGAACTGGGAACCCTCCCCCAAAAAAGTTGGTGAGAAAGGGCACCTAGCTGGGGGACCTAGAAAAGACATCAAGGGACAACCGTCCCCGTCCTCCACCAGGCGGCAGGCCTCTGCATAGGCCGCCTTAAACGCCTCCTCCGAGTCAAAGGACACATCCGGCCTGGCAAGCCAAAAATCCGAGCCGGTTTTCTCGGACGAAGATGGAGGGAGGGATGGATGGATGGGATGGGATGGGATGGGATGGGATGGGATGGGATGGGATGGGATGGGATGGGATGGGATGGATGTGTTGGGGAGAACAGGGCCTGGCAAGAACCCGAGCAATCTATTTGTTTTTTGGGGGGTTGGCAGTGAAGTTGAATTCGACAGGGCATCATGCTTTGGGGGCATCACTTACAAGGACTGGATGTCCGACTGGGACATGGACCCCTCGGAATTTGTCTTTTAGGCCGGGCTGCCCTCAGATCCCCCGCTCAAAGTTTAACTTCTAGTTTTTTTGTTTAAATGGAAACTACCACCAAACACTAAGAAGATCTAGGCGAAGTTGAACCGGATGGCTTCGCCAAGTTCTTCTGGCACACTCGGACGACCTGAAGCTTGCGAGCGCCTGGCCTGATGATTTCATGCTCGACTTCTTCCGGCTCTGGTTCCTTGGGTAGCGAGCTGAGATGTTCGGGTGGAAATGATTCGGATGACTCTCTCTCCATTGCCCTTGGGTTCCCTTTGACAGGGTACCAAGCCTCAAAGGGTACTCATTTCCCTCCATTTGCTGAAGTCCCCTGGGAAAAAACATATCTTAAGAATATGTTTCCAGTAGTGATAGATTCTCCTTAAAACCAACAGGGGAAAATAACACATATTCTTAACCGAATGGAAGCTTCCGGCTGCTGGGTTCCGTGGTTTTCTTGGTCGCCCGTCCTGAATCACCGCCGGCGGCGCATCAGCCGCAGGGGAAAACGGCGCGGCCGAGGTGCGCCGGGACTCTTGCCAGCCTCGGCGTGGCCCCGCTGCTACTCTTTCTGCGATCAAAGGTCTGGGCCAAAAGTCTTGCAAGTTACTTCCATTTTCGGATACGTCCCCTGGAGAAAAAAAAAACATGTCCACTAGCGGTAGATTCCCTTCAAAGCCAACAGGTGAAAATAAGAAAAATGCTCTTAAGCAAATGGAAGGTTATGAAACTTAAAGAAAGAAAGCCTCCAGTGAAAGACCGTCAATCTTCTCCAGCTAGTTTTACCCAGACTAAGTCCTGCAGATTTGAGAGGTTAGAATAAGTTGGTACCGTTTCTTTTTTCAGGACGTCTGTTTTAGTAGGGGATTCCTCCCACAAAAAGGGATACCATGTAAGATGCTCCATACAGCTCTATGATGCGGCTGATTCCCGTATTGAATGGCGTACGTATAGGAAATAGGAGAGGCTTCTCCCTGTCATTTCTCAGTTACCAGGGTGGTTGGATGCGGTTGACTAACCTGCAATATTTCGGAAATCCACCGCACCATCCCGAACCCACTTCTTTACAATCAGCCTAACACCTCAATTGTCAGGACCCGGCATTGGGCCCACGCAAAATGGACCCTGGGAAAACCAACTTGTGGAGGTCGATTCGCTTTAAGCAAAGAATTCCAGCGTACACCAGGCGCGTGGAATTCACAACCGCGTGTCCCTTCAAAGACAAAGACTCAGCCGGGCTTCGAGCTTTGACCCGTGCCCACAATCCAAAATCAAAGTTTGTCTCTTGGTTGCTATTGACCCCCCTGCAAAAAGTGTTTAACTGTTTGGGGGTTGTGGAAAACACGCCAATATTTCAACCAACAAGTTGAAGTCTAAACATCCAACCCAATAGCAGTCAAGGTCTGACATCCCGCTGAGCAAGGCGCGCTCTAGCCAGGGCCACAGCCACCACAGCGCAGCAGCCGCAATGATCAGAAACCAAAGGAAGGGAGGCGCTTGGGCGGGGATTCCGGGCTCGTCCATGGCGCTGATGGCCAAAAGCCCCTCAGAATGGAAGGCTTGAATTGAGCCAAAACCCAGTACTAAAATGGTGAACCCAGAACCACGCTTCAAGAATTCAGAAGGCGGCCGCAGCGATTTGTGGCTGGGATTGGCCCTTACTAACCTTCATCTACCCGGGTTTTGATTGTGGCTCAATTGCTTGCAAATGCAGCCTGTGGACATCATTTGCGGGATGAACGATACTCCAACCACTTAAGCGTCATGTCAAATTTTGCTGAAACCTGATCCGAAGAGCGTGACCTGTGGCAGAACGTTCTGCCACAGCGCCTGAAGCCGACAGTTTGGCTACGAACACACAAGTTCTATGGCAACCCCGGATGAATAAACCCCTGTTGATTGACAGGGGGCGTTCCCTTCTAGTGGGAGCTCATCACTTATGAAGGTGAATACCCTCTGTGAATCGGACGGGTTTAGTCATCCGGGGTCTAAATGTCAAAACTAACGTGGGTTGCCCGGGCACCCCCCACCGCCGGTATTGCTCCCCTGCAATCCAACTGATTCCGTTCACTTTGCGAGGAAGACTGGTCAATCTGAGCCGGTGACACCTCAGCCTCATGACGCGGCTGTGTCGATGAGTTTCAGAGTCCACCTGGGCAAAGCTCAGCGCACTGCGCAAGCCTTGGGAAATTTTGGGTTGGTTCCTCAACAAAACAGGGGCGCTCAAAGGCAAACCTCCGCTTTTGGTTGTTCACCCACAGGACAATTACCTTCCGGCGTCTTTCTTTTTGAGGGTACCCCCCTTTCGGGCGTCTGGACATGAAGAATCCGCTCCATTTAAAGGGGGCCCCGCATTCAATTCGATCAACCCGCGTCAGCTTGCATCCTGAGAGGCACCTGCCTTATCATCCTTGGTGAAGACCAGCAGGATGGGGATGTTCTGCTTCCTGCCATTGGTATTTCGCAGGTGAAGGCAGCTTCCTGACTCCCTTTTCAATGCTTTTCACGGGGAAAAAATATCCGCCTCAACCCGCTTTCTGAGTGCTTTGGCCAGTCTGAGACTGAGAAGGCTGCAAGAAGCCGAAGAAGGCCCAGAAAGCATCGGGCCTTGATCGGTGAAAGATCTGATGGGATATGGGAGGCCCTGATTCTGTGGAGTGTTGGACATATAGCAGCATGTACCGGTTTCATTTTCGTTGGCTTGCAGGGAAGCCAACAGCAAAAGCGATGGCATCTTGGGGGTTCCATTGAGACCCAGATGGCTGTGGGTCAAAAATAGGTACCCAAAATGGAACCCTGGTAAATGGAACCAAGAACTAAAACCTGCGGTCCCCTGGTGGCTTAATTTTGACCCACACCCAGATGGCTCCCATTGCTCCTCAGCATCTTGATGGTCTTCAAATCCTCCGGAATCACCTGCTGTCAAAGCACCAGTCGATAGGAGGACCCGTTTTTTTCTCCCCCCTTCTGCTTTTTGGCCCCAAAACCAAGAGGTACTGTGGATGGTTGCGAAATCCATCCGTTTCGCACCGTTCAGAAGCCCATGCTGACTCTCCTGTAAATACCAACAAACAATGGTTTCCCATGGTTTCAAACTTGTGCAGGATTTCCATCCACCGTAGCAAAGCCGAGAACGCTTCTATTTCCGTAAGACAAGCCCAAATGGTGGACCAGCCGGGGTTGGCAAAGGGAAACCAAAAGGAAACAACGAGGATCACGGCGGCGAATCTCACTTGGGGAAAAAGGACCCTCCCTTTCAATAGTTTATGGGTAGGAAAAGTGGGTATGCTCAGCTTCAGTGTTTATCTCAATCTGGCGGATCCCCCGAAATGGCATAAAGTTGATACACACGCAACTCTGCCCGCAAGAAACTCTGCCGGAGAGAACTGGCCTCCTTTGAAATCTCATGGACGTAAATCGCGGCGCGGAGCCAGTGGGTGGTGTTGAGATACTCCTCACAGGAAAAGGGAAAGGCGGATCCAAACCCCGCCCTCACTCATCCCTAGAAATGAAGCATATCCAAAAATCGCCCTCACCCATCCCTAAAACTAAAGCATGGGAAGGGGGGTACAGGTGGCTCCAGCCTCACTCATCCCTAGAAATACAGCATGGGAAGGGGGATTGCTGTGGATCCCATGGCCTGTCCTGAACAACTCCTTCCCAATTTTGCGTCCAGTTGGCATGGACATCGGCCGCCTCCTGAGACACGTCAATGTGTGCGAGCCCCTTTTCTGGAAGAGATAAAACACGGCGGCCTGTGGACAAGAAAACATTTCCGCAGCACTTGCGGACAAACCGCCGCTACTGGGACAAACCATCGAACTGGTGCGGGAATTTATCCGGAGGGAACCATGCACCCAAGTTTGTGACTTGTTGCCTCGACGCGTCAATCAAAGATGAGCTGAACCGCATGATGAACCATGTTGAACAAACTCTATAGTAAGTATGCTGTGCCACACAGTAGAGTTCTTTACGTGGACCCCTTGAATCACACTTGCCCTCATCTCTTTCCAACCACCTTTGCGCCTGGTTGCGATCGTCGGCCTTGCCGTAGCTGGGCATGTCTGCCACCGTAAAGCGGCGATTCATGCAATAGACCTGGATGCCCTGAGCCGGCGATTCGTCAACTCGTCCGCGAATCGAACTTCAAAGGCTCCCCTTTCCCGCAGGTGTCCTAAACGCGCAAAGGCGCCCCACTATATCCCCCTTGTCCGCTTCCAGGATTGCAAGCAGCATCCCTGACGGAAAGCCCTGTGAACGAAGCTTTCGATTCTCTCAGAGCCCTTCTACCGTGGCCAATATGGCACAAGGGAAGGCGGTTTCCAGGAAGCTCTGTTCCCACAGATTGCACAAAGTCACGTGGTCAAGCATCCGAATCCAATGCGCCAATCATGCTGAGAACGTGTGACTCGTTGACTGGCTATATGTGGTCCTGCCTTTGTCTTGCCAGGCCTTTGGGCGACGGAGAAGTGACCTCAGTGAGACCGTGCGAGCAGTTCCCCATCCCAGTTCTTCATTTGGTGATTCTCGCAATAGGGGCCCCTCAAACGAGTTGGTTGACTTCTCTTTGAAACCTCCACCATTCCGAGTTCTGAGAATGCAATCCATCTGAAACAGGCAGTTGCTATATGTTGCTATCCATCGTCATTCGAAAGACCAGCATTGCATGCGGCAAAGCCCCTGGCCGTTCTTGCGAGGCTTTGTCGCACTAAACAAATGCTGCAGCATGGCCTTGGTCAAGACAAGTCAAGTGAGTGCTGAACATGTCCTGCACCACGAACGCAGCAGGTGAATCAGATAAGCGCCACGCAGACTTGCCGGCATTCACCCGGCCAAAGACAGCAATCTGGCACAGGGGCAATCTGAGACAGCAAAAGAATCGCACACGTTTCGCCTGAAACTGCCTTGAGTACGATTTTTCCCGCTGGAAGGGGAATGATTCTCACCTCAAACACTGCTTCCACCTGTAGAACATACCACCCAACCGCGCACGGGATGGGCATCGAGCCTGGCACATGTTGGTTTTGGGACGCCCAGTAAACCGCCACCTTGGAGGCTTGAAAGACTTTGCGAAACCTGCGGAGTGCTCCCAAGACCAACAGGGATCCGGATGCATTATACACCTGAACATTGCAACTTGTAAATGGAAATGGTGGTTTCCAACTTTATTTTGCTGGAAAAAGCCATGTTTCAAATGGGCAAAGTGTATCTTTTAAGGAGCCCTGACCAAGTACAGGCACGCAGGGCTTGTCTCTTGGCCCTTGAAAACATAGGCGGACCCCAACTTCAAAGAGGGTCAAAAGGCACACCCGGCGCACAGGTCGAGAAACGGGCGCTAAAACAAGGACATCCATTCTCCCTCTTTTTTAGCAACGCTAGAATTGAAGACCCTTGTTTAGCAACCCTCTTCTTTAACAACCATTCTCCCTCTTCTCCCTCTTAGAAGCTTGGAGCAACAGAATCCATGCCTCAGGAAGCTCCTCGTAGATGGTGTCTGAGCGCGCGATCCAGTCCGTCAGGTTGCCAAGTGATGCGGACAAACCATTCGAGTCGAGTCGCCCTCTTATCCATTTTGGGGACAGTCCGACATCTACCGTTGCTTGTTCTTGTATTTTTCTTTCCCGGGTCCAAGGGCAAGGGTACTCTACTTCTCACAGCTGGACTTCATCCAAGCGGCTGCTTCTAAACTTCAGACTCTCTTTGCTCTTGAAGCACCTGCCAGCTCAGAAGCTCATGCGTGACATGCAGCTCGCGGCATGTACCCCAACCGATGGCCTTCCAACCTGCAGGACTCATAGGGCTGTTGTCAACATAGGGTAACCCCAACTGGAACCCTGGTACATGGAAACCGGAAACCTATGTGGGGTACCTAGCTGGGGCACCTAGTTAAAATATTATTTTGCGTCAAAAATAGGTAGTGAGAATTCGGAACCCTGGTAAATGGAAAGGACTAAATCCTGCGGTCCATACCCTGGTGGTTTCATTTTGACCCATGTAGAAGCCGACGCAAAACCGGTTTAACTGCTTGTTGCACTTCCGACCGGGCGAAGCTGAGCTGCCAACCACACCCGGATGCAGTCGGTGATTCGACGCAGCACCTGGCAGCACCCATTCCAGGTGAAAAGGCCAGCCGTAATGTATGCGGCACAACAAACATAGCTGGAACCATGCTTGGTGCTTGTGGGTAGCATCAAAATAAACTTAGGCCATGTCCATGAAATACATCTTATAGTAACTATGCTTCTTCACCGATTCGTGTCCAAAACCTTTGTTGGGGGATCTCAGCTAGCCAATGGCCTCATGCTCGTGTTTCCCAAAACACCCTTCAGGTTGCAGAACGCAATCCTACTCTCTTTGGCGAGTGACACGGAGCATGGAGCATGGAGCTGTCCAGTGGGAGCAGCGCTCTTTTCACACCCTGGCTTTTCACAAGGGCAGGGGTTTCGAGCGCTCTCGCGGTTCACTCCAAGCAAGTGATCGAAGAGTTTGCGTGTCGAATGGAATATGAGCTCCAAGGGGAGTTGTTTGTTTGGCAGTACTTGGCCACTCTCTGCACGCAGGTGGCCCAGAACCAGGGTTACACAAGTCGCGCAACTTGGGTTGACCCAGCAACATCATGGTTACTGTCATAACTCGGTTGCTTTCTGCTTCCCTAAAAGTTTAACTTTTAGTGGTTTGATAGAACACCTATTGGTTGGAAAAAGTTAAAGTCCTAGCATCCCTTGGAAAAAAACACACCACAGGTGCTGCAGGCACACGAAAAGGACATGCCAGTTTGTGGGTTCCCTGGAAAAGGACACATCCATATAGCCCAGCATTTGGCCCAACAGCCCAAGAATAACCTTTTGTTCCCTTCCGAGCATCCAGTTGCCGTGGGGCCTGTCGGATGGAGTTCTTCCCTTGGTATCTGCGGAAGGTCTTGATACGGGGCTCTTGGCCTCAGAGTTGCGCAGGAAGGGTTGCCCCTTATGAACCACAGCCTGCCAGACCCTCCAAGGCTGCAATATTAATAGGCGTGTTCTTTGTTTGTTTTATCATCCAATACACGAATTTATCTTGTATTCAACATTCTATGCGTTTCTTTGGACGTTGTCTCGGTTCATTTCTGTATTCCTCGCTCCCTTCCCTATCCTCGTGTCAATACTCGTTGTGCCCAACTGACATGGGAATTCGGTCTATTTGCTGGTGGCACTTTGGTGAGTGTGCCCCATGTCATTCCTGTTTACAGCACGTGACAGTGACTAGGTCCTCCAGTACAGAGGTAAGAATCAGGGTACCCTTTTTCACTGGTCCATTTTAGTAGGGGAACCCTCCCAACCAAAAAAAGGGTGAGAAAGGGCACTAGCTGGGGGACCTAGGTGATGTAAACATGGACCGTCTCTCAACTGCAATTGAGACATTGCGACCCCGAGGGCCCCGCGCAACAGCAGACTCTCCCGCACTTTCGTCGGAGTCTGCCGAGCGAATCAGGACACATGCCGCCCCTCAACAAGTGCCATTTGATGCAACTGCACCAGGCCACAACCAGGGTCTGCCTCAAATGCTGTTTTTTTTGTGGTCCCTTTTCAAGCCTAAGGGTAGTAACTCCCAAAAAGGACACTATGATTCTTCCGGGCCCTCTTGCCCTGGTCTCATCTCTGTCCGCTTTGGGCGTGTTTTTCGGGCGTGAAACCTGGTGCAACCAAAGCCCCAAGATGGTGGTGTCCTTTTGTCCTGGAAAAAACAAGTGGCCAGTGGCCAAATGGGTATGTCGCAAGCAGAATCGGTGGACTCGAAAAAAGGATAAAAACAACAGGACAATTAAAAGAACCTAAAAACTTTAAACAAAAATAAAGAACATAACATCGGATGGCTATCGCCTCCTGGCCTTGATGCCTTGGGCCATCTTCAGAACCCGCTCCGGCTCCAGCAGCCCCTTGGACAACGCCGGCACCCGCCTGCCGCGCTCTGCGCTAGGCGTGCGCCAGGCGCGCGCCAGACGCGCTCGCGTTTCGGGCGTTTCGGGCGTGCGCGAGGTGGGCGGCCGAGGCTAGGCTCCCCAAATTGAGAAGGGAACATTGGGTGCGGTTTCTGATGGTGGGAAAATGTCCCAGGTCCTACCATACCGACAGAACCAACGATTTTTTGTCAGCTCACGTGATGTGGCCATGGGTCAAAATCCTGATTTCCGCCAGGGAACATCCCAACCCAACCACTAAAATAGGTTCTAAAATGGGTGCAGAACAACCAAAGGGAGGGCTGTCCAAGCGAGATTCCCAGCGGTGACCAAAACGATAAACGAAATCCTGGGCTACTAGACCATCCACTGAAAAACATTGTAATAGATCGGGGGGATTTCCAGTTTCCGGACCGGTGATGTCAGACCGGGTTTGTCTCAAATGGCTGGCACCCCCTCTTTCAGGTTCCCGATCAGTTGCATTTTCCCCAATGATATTTTGGGCTGTAGGGTCTCCTTTTAAAACTTTAGTTGGTATCTTAAAGGGAAACCAAAAGTAAATCAACCATTTGAGGGGACCAAATCCTATGTTGATCGTCAATTTGAGAACCACCTATGAACACATGAACCGATCCCCAACAATTGCCGGTGCTTTCTTCTCGGAGCCAATTTGTTGCCGGCTGGGCATGGCAAGTCCTTCCACACCACCTTCATCGTAGATCTTCCGCAGAGACGGCACGGAGAGAATCTGCAAGCAGCGACAGGCAGCCGTATGTGCAACTGAGGCCGACTCCAAAAATCGCGAACTTTCCGAATTGGGGGTCTCAAAATAGAGGCGATGTCCTTCTGGTGTCCCTCTGAAACCCCAAAAAAGGGGTGGCCAAGAAACATGAAACACCCATCCTTTGCGAGACGGTCCCACACCCAAACCTTATGGGATGGGGATGGTCGCAGACCTTCGGAAAAAGGCCAAGTAATCAATCCCCGGGTCCGATCAGATACCTCAAATGTGTAATTCTTGAGCTGTGCCTGATAGAGGTTGGACACACGATAGAACTCCTCCGCTAGGATGTCTGCTTCCTGGCTCGCGGCAAGGTGACCATGCGCAGGCACATAAAAGCCTGCAGCATGTTTGGCACACCTCGCCCGGCCACATGCGAGGTCTGTTGGGACCTGTCCGTCTTCTTTCGGGCCAACGTGAGTCACAATCAAAGCCCGGTATTAAAATGGTCTACCCAGAACCATGTAAAGAATTAAGAAGGCGGCCGCAACTATTTCTGGCTGGGACTGCCCCTTACTAACCTTCATCTACCATGGTTTTGATTGTGGCTCAGGTCGTCTTTGTTGGCAATGCCTGCAGCTGCCAAAGTCTGCCAGAGTATGTGGTTACCCTTCTGCACGTTGGAAAATAGCGAAGCCCCCGATGCTTTGTGCTTGACCGTTATTTTATAGTGGCGCATCCCCTCAACATTCCCTCCTGACTTCAGAAGAAACTAGTGGATGTTTTGATGGAGATCATGCAAGTTGCTGACAGTGTACCCACAAACCGATGGGGGACCACCAAAACTCGAAGCCCAACCTGCCACCCCCACAAGGAACTATAAACAATATATAAATACGGTTGTATCATCACGTCAAGCATCCTTGCCTTGATGATGGCACCAGGTTTTTGGGGTTGCTTCAAAGAAATGTCGAAAGCAAGTTGGATCCGATTTTGGGCATGGCCCTATTTTTGAGATACCCCCCTGAAGTGGGCGTGTAACGACGTATCCCCTCTTGGCCGCAAGGCCTCTTCTGCTTCGCCGCTCGGCGACGCCTGGCTAAGATTGCCCCTGAGGCGCGATACCCTTTTGGGTTGGTTGTAAAGGCAAACCTTTGTGGGGGGTATTTCTTTCGAGGGTGACAATAACGCGAATTCAAGGACAAACCAGCCATTTGGAGGCCCCCGGCCGTTAATTTGGAGACAAGCCCAAGTGGCCTTAGTCGGGCAGGCCATGTTGCGGGCTGTGCGATCAACAACCGTGGAACACTTCTGAGTGACCACCGCCGCCCAGGTTTTGACTGGCAACAGAGATTCAACCTCTCTGATCTGGTCCGCGCTGCCGCAAACCTTTTCACCTGCAAGTAGCCGTCCACGCACGGTGTGCGTGTCAAAGACACAAATATGGCCGAAGGAATTCCTTGGCTGTATTTAAGAGGCCTGTGCACTACCTAAAATGCTCAGGTAGCTTATGTAACAAAAGCAGAAGGCCAAAAATCTCAAAAAGTTTCCCACAAATCTTTAACATGTTTTTCAAAAATCTTTAAAAGTTTCTCACACATCAAGAAAAGTTTCCCAAAAACCTCAACATGTTTCACACAATATCAAAACATCCTGATCATCTTGGAACACCCCATATATCTCGAAAAGTTTCTCCCACCATCCCCCTAAGATTCGACATGGCTTGCCTCTGGCTCTTCCACCCTCGCAATATTGCAGTGTCGATATATCAATAATACAACTTCGCTCGGCCCCAATAGTTATATCACAAGCTGCCCAACTGCACAGTTCCTGAGGGAAGGGAAGCCGCGCAGGGTGATGAAACAGCAGGGCAGTCTGCAAGCACTTTTTTCACGCAACCACGCATCCTATCTCCAGCTGGCAACACCGTGCCTAGAGCTACCTACAAGTGAACAAGGGGAGCGGCCTTGTCCGCACGCTGGCGCGCACGGCCCCACGGCCTTCTACCGCACGCACACGGCCCACGGCCTTCCCCTTTATAGCTGGCTGTACTTTGCCCGGGCTCGCTTTTGCAAGCGCTCGCCCAAAGCAGTGGGCGCACTCGCGGGAGGCGCGGCCTCAGCGGGCTCCTTCTCCGACAAAGCGCGCAAGCCTGCCATCGCTGCCTGGATGTCCTGCAAGGGGGCGCAAGCTGCTTGACCGGTGTTCTTCCCACCTGATTAGCTAGGCTCTTGCAATGCAATTACAGCCCCCGAACAAAGCGCGCGCAGTTGCAAAAAAGGTGGTCCCCTAAAAGCGGGCCTCATCCTTGGAAAGCGGTGTCTCACCAGCTGCCTTTGGCGCACGGCAGCTGCTCCATGTAGCTGCCGCAAAGCCACACTGCAGCATAGCTAAGACCACTGGCAAGGACATTGCGTTTCCTGCAAGGTCCTGCATAAGACTTTCGCTGGGGGCACAAGCTGCCGATCGCAGCAGCGCGTGCTGCGACTTCTCAACAACCTCAAGAAACGGCAAAGCCGGAAAGCCTTGCATTGTGAGGGCTTCTCGCCCCAGCATGGGGCGGGAGTTTTCGCCCAACTCAATCCACAAGCATTGCTTTGGGAGGATGGTCGGCGCCACGTGGGCCCCAGCATCAGCCGACCACGTGGAAGCATTAATCCTGCCAATGCTCTGCGACGTGTCCCGGAACATGGAACTTGGAAGCGCCGCTTGGCATAACGGCAGCGCGTCCTTCTCCCTCTCAGTCAAGCACTGGAACCAAGGATTGCGAGCAAGTTCAGGGCGCGGGGCCTTGCCCCAGCGAAGCTTCAGGTTCTCAGCGTACTGCATGTGCTGCTCAGCCCACCTCGCACCCACAGACTGGCCTGCCTCTCGCTGCCCTTGCTTCTTCGCAGATTCTTCTGCTTTTTGTTGACGGGCACTCAACTCCTCTCTCACTGCCAAATCGTCTGAGGGCAAAAGCACCTGACTTGCGCAGGGAGCTTTCCTCAAGCACCCGCTCAGCAGGCTGCGGAAGGTTGTGAACACGGCATGCAACGGCCTTCCAGCAAATGTCATCAGAGGATTGCCCCCAACACGGATCAAAAGCACGTACACTCGTCGTCTTCTTGCCGGCAAGCCAAACTGGCACGCATCAAGAACAACACTCTGGGACTCATAGCCACGAGCAGAGACCTCAGCCTGGAAAATGTCCGCGTTGCTTTGCCCCCCCGCCTTGGAGTCTTGCATGGAGTCAACATTCTCGAACAGCACCAGCGGAGGCTTATGAACGTCCAGGTATTTCAAGAATCCTCGAAAGGTTTGCGCACTGCCTCCTTTACTTGACTGCTGGAGAAGAACTGCTTCACGCCGAACTGAACCAGGGTTTGCCCTTGACATATCCTTGCACGACGTCCCCAAGATGAGCAAGTCAACGGAGGGGACACGGCAGAGTCCAGAGTGCTGCGAGCACTGAGCCTGCTCATCGCCCATGTCCAATATGTCACTGAAGACGCACGGAAGGTCAGCCTGCTCAACAGCTTGGCTCGCTGCGCTGTCAGGCAGCGCCGCGCCTTGCACTCGGTCTAGGACCATCTTCCCGCAGCTGTTGACAAAACTTATCCTTTCTCAGCAGCAAGCTCGCAGCTGAACGCAGCGGCATGAGGAGCCGTTGCGCAAGAAAACGTCGTTCATAGCGTCAACTACGAAGCGTGCCCCCTCGCTCCCCGAGCAACAACTTGCCCACTGCAGCTGGCACTCCGGCCCTAGAGGCCTATTCTTCGCCAGCCTGCGCACGTCTCCGCGTTCTCCTCTGCCACCTTGAAGAGCCACTTTCCACTCAAAAGGTCTCCAGCAGAAAGGCATCGTTTGGACAGGTAGTGCAGCGTCTCTTGCTCAACCTCTTCCGGGTCGACTGTCGGCCTGGGCGTCAGCCTCCGCTGGGAAGATGCCATCGCGCGCGGCGGGCGCCCAACAAAAACCCTGCCAGTTGCTGTGGATTTGCGGAGTGCTTTTCGTGCATATGTCAGATATTAACGCGCTTGGGGGCATGGTGCGCACATGTTAGGAGACCATTGGTTTGCAACTACGTCACTGAGCCGGCCGAGGCAAATGGAATCTGAGACACTCTGCTGTTACTGCATCTGAACAAGCCGCTCACAAATAAAACAAGTCTTGCAGCAACTATCAAGCAACGCATTTGACTGCCTCGCCAGACTCGCATCGTATGATGTCAAGCAGCAGCGCTGCTTGCCTAGTTCTAGTTCACGTCTTCAGCCGCAGTTGAAGGGCCCCGGCTGCTCAGCGCAGCTGCCAAGCCGCTTCCACTTTTGACGGCTTGCTGCCCTAAGCCCACGGCAACGGAGGATCTTGCGTTGGCCTTGGCAGCGCGCTTCTTTGCGGCCACGTCGGCTGCCTTCACAGCTTTGCTGGGGCAAAACAACCTGCCCAAGGGCTTGTCGTCGTCCTCCATCTGGCCCGCTGCCGCTCTCTTGCAGCCTGCCTTTGGCTCCGCCTTCGCTTTGGCAGCTGCTTTCGCTTTGGCAGTTGCCTTTGGGGCCTTTGCAGCCTTATTCTCCGCTTTCTTCTTGGGCGCTCGCTGTGCTTTCTCATCGCTGCTCCTCTTCTCCTTGTCTTTCTTGTCCTTCTTGTCTTTCTTTTTGTCCTTTTTGCCCTTCTTGTCCTTCTTCTTCTTGTCACTGTTGTCTTTGTTGTCCGTCTTGTCCTTCTTGTCCTTCTTGTCCTTTTTGTTCTTGTGGCCTTCTTTGCAGCTTTTGCCAGCCGCGTCTGCCATGCTCAGTGGAAGCGGGCTCTGCGTCAGCTTGCTATCGCTCTCGCTGGCTGCTTTGTCCTTGCTGGCTTCAGCGCTTACAGTCTTGGCTGGGGCCAGGACAGCCCCGCTGGCTTGCGACTTGGCTTCCTCAACTTTCTGCTTGGACAAGGCTTCCTTTTCTTGCTGCACTTTTTCCTTGCCAGGGCCAACTGCTAGCTGCTTTGGAGCACGGCCCACGGCCTTCTCAGAAGTTTCTTGCTGGCTGGGGGCATTTGCGGCATTGGCATTGGCATTGGGCTCTGAGCCTGCCAGGTCCTGCCGAGTGGAGGGTGCAACTTCATCAGTCAAGGCAAGAGGGGCTAGACTCAAGCCTTCTAGGGTCGAAGCTTTGCGCTTTCGATCTGCTCCCTCGTCTTTGCTGCCGTTTTCTTCTCCAGAAGAGACATCGACTGGATCAGCTGTCTCCTGGAGGGAAAGAGAAAGCTCCTCAAGAAAGTCTGCTTCACTCATGCTTAGCAGGTCTTCCAGCGAGCACTCCTTTGCCTGCTGCTCCTCTGCCTCTGCCTGGGGGCTTGCAGCCTGTGTGCTCTGCGTAGGCTTTGGTCCGGCCGGGGCGGCGGGCGATGCGTCGCCCGCAGTGGAGGCCACAGCTGGGACAGCTGGGGCCGGGGAAAGGGTTTCAGCTTCAGTCTTTCCTGAAGCCAACCCAAGTGACGACCCAAGTGACGGCGCGTCTTTCGGAGCCATCTGGGGCGTCGATGTGACTGTGGGAACTTTCAGTCGGCACAGCCTGCCGCAATCCTTCCGGGTCACGCAGGCTGCAGCCCAGTCTTTAGCCACGTCCAAGTCGCATGACCCAAGAGAAGCTTTCACCTTAGCCACAAAGTCAAGCACTGCCGTCGCTGCAAACAATCAACCACCATCATCGTCATTGATGGCAATTAACACACATACTTTGAACCTCCATATTGCAAGTGCAACGCAATGCCTTTCCACCTCAGGCCGGCACAGCAGCTGCAGCTTCCTCTAAGAAGCTGCGCAGCACGTCATCTGGCAGCTGATCGTGCTGGGGTGTCTTTGGGAGCTCAGCACGGAGAAGCGTCATCAACAGGCTTTGCAGCTGCCGCGCAGCAACGCGGCTCTGCTCAGACTTGCCGCCAAGGTGGGGGCTCCGCGCCAAAGTCAAAGCAGCAAAAAAAGTGACATGGGTGACAAGAACTTGGGCGATGCCCTGCCCGCTGCTCGCAATGGATTTGGGCGAAAGGGAGTAAGCAGCCTCCGAGAAAGGGCCTGCTGCGTGGCAAGCTTCCAAGGCAGATGTGATGTCCGAAGCCTGACCCTTCAA